TTTCTGGCAATTGCCAAAATGGTGCCTCGCGTGGTCACACAGCGCGGAGCCCAGATCCTTCAACATTTTTTGTTTCCAACAAAGTTCGTTTCAAATTTTCTTTCATGAACTCTCGAACTGAAATAGAAAATTTGCTAGCATCTCCAGAGGTGGTAGCAAAATGCCCTTCCCCGGGGCGCGTCAGGCCGCTAACATTTGCTACCCCTTTTGCTGCTTTTGCCACTTTCCCTGCCTTGTGTGACTGTCCCAACCATCAAAGTTTAGCTATTTTGCCATAAAAGGCCCTAGTGTGAGTAGGCCCTAAGTAGACAGGACTAGTCAATAAGGGGGTAGAAGTGGAAGTACTTAGATTAGATGCAATAGAGTATTGTCCTTTCTCTTCCTTTCTTTGAACCGTGGCTGACGCTGCCAGAAGGTACTCCGGGTGGAATTGTGCGGACTACGGCCCTAATTTGGCTATTTTGAGGGCTTCATATTATAAGCTTAAAATAGCACTGAGGTCGGGAATCCTCAACAAACAACCCAGAAGGAACAAGAGAATTGTATCACAGGCGAAGGGAATTAGGTCTAGGGACAGAAATGGTCAAAACGCAGACTGCTGCCCTCACTTTTCTGCAATCTTTTTTTTTTTTTTTTTTTTTTTTTTGAAACAAAGCTCCATCTTTTGGTGGGGAGCAACACCTGCTGGAAACCGGGTCCAGCGTCCCATAGATACACCCATATCCTCACAAATTGGTACAAACTGGGAACCGGGCCCAGCGTCCCATAACAAGTACGTTCAGAAAAATTCATCAGGAAAATTCCTACTAGAAAATCTAATTGGTCTAAGGATAGCATTTGGAACATGAGATACCGGGGCCAAGCTACTTCAGACATGTCGATAACAACATCATGATTAAGCGAACCTTCGAAACGACTCAGAAAGATCCCCATCAAGCCACTTTACCTCCCTCCGGCAAGACTGACTGCAGCGGAGCCACAATCTCTGCTGCTGCTAGGCCATACTCCCACCCCACCAGCTAGCCCCCTCACTGGTAGGACGCGTGATAACCCACCATCTTCTCCAGCTCACCTTATTTTCTTTCTGAAGAACCTAAGAACTCTTACCATCATTCCAGAGGCATGCGAATAGGCCACAGAGGTCCTAAGATTGTTCCAAAAAATCGAAATCCCACACAAACCCTTCCCACGTTCTCCAAAACTGTCATACTCTCTGCTGATCTCTTCTAGGTTTCCCACCCCCACTTCTGCTGGGTTACAGGGCAACGCAGCTCACCCCAGCTCCGACCAGCATCGTCCTGGCAGCATCCCTTGGTTGTCCTGTGGAAAGTCCCCCTCAAGACTTCCCCAGATCTCTCTACCAGACCTCACGTTTGTGACGCGCAACCTCACGCCCTGTGTTGTCTTTCGTTCGGAGTGTTAATTGTGCGGAAAGAGGCCCAGAAAAACAGCAAGATGGGGTGTGCCAAGGATTTTTGGAAATTGAGTGTGGGGACTTAGACGGAACTGAAATCCCCCGTGTTGGTCAAATGAAGCAAGTCGATTGCTTTCGCGCATCGCGGAATGCGCGCGCGGACAAGGCGCGAAGAGAGAAAAATCCAAATTCAATTTAGGAAGTATTGTCGGGCTTCCCACCGTGCTACGGCCTGTCGTTTAGAGCGGAAGGGCTTCAGCACGCTTCGTGTGTCTCGTTTTCGGATCAAGTCCCGTCGCCGTTCATTGGTCAGTTCTGAGTCTGATGAGGAGGGTCGCAGACACGTGGCTCTCTCCTTGTGCTCGTCCTCACTCCGTATTCGGTAGTGGAAGCCCTTCGCTTTGTAGCGATCGAAACACTGACACTCTGTGAACAGGGTTCTAGGCCAATGGAGCGCCACTGCCGTCCACGGGATAACGATTAGTTCGCTAAAGGGGAGCAATATTGAGTAGGGTGGGAAGTGTGTGTCGATAATAACAAACCCAGCCTCTACGAACCCCGAACAACGGTTTGCCGGGGGGAAGTAGTATCGTCCGCCGATCTGTGCGACACCTTCTCGTACGTCCCACTCGCATACACGTGTCCTTTCCTCGTTGTAGGGAAAAGGTCGTGTGGGTGCAGGAGGTACGGGAGGCTGACGCCCGATCGGAGGGTACTTGTCAGTCCACATATCAATCACGAAGAGGAAATAATCCTCAATCAATCCTTTTCTACCAAAGAAGGGGGGAAAACACTCGTCAGTTTAATCACGCATGTAACTGACGAGACCGATCGCGGCTCAACTTTAGTTAGCTAGGGCGATGTTGATTCTTGGCGCCTTGTTTACCGAGGCTGCCTCGTGGGTTGGCCACTGAAGCCGGACAGCATAAGGCAGATGGCATGCGTAGTGCACTCAGAGCTACAGATCTAGACACTCTTGCATTCTCGGACAAAATCTCGACGACAATCGTCTAATAAAAAAGAGTCACACGTCTCCATGCATGCATCCACTTTGGAAGGTGCGAAAATGAGACATCCACAGGAAATGATAGATCGCATTGCACAGTACACACGCATCCGCCGTTCACAAGATAAGAAGAGAGGGTCCTTGCATAGGAGGATTACCCAGGAAACTAATGGAAGAGTTCCGGAAGAAGTTCTTTCATACAGAAACAGGATGCAAACTCATTCTCATTCAGGAGAGGGACAATCATTCAGACGCATCATCATTCAAAAAGAGGAACAGAAAGAAAAAGAGAGAGAGAGAGAGAGGGAGAAAAAAAGAGAGAGAGAGTCGAGGGAAAGAAAGTCAAAATAGAAGATGACACGGTTTGGAAAGAGAAAGTTCGGCGTCGCCGCCGTACACTCACACCAAAGATAACAATTTGCAACAAAGGCGCATTGGCCGTTAATTCCAGTATGGCCCCGGGCCAATCAACTCAACTCCGATCATCGATCCTCATACCCGCACCGACGATCCCGGCCATCGCGTGCTAACTCCCACCACTACGATCGTCACCCCACTGTCGTAAACTCGACACGGTTCACCCAGATCCCACAGTCCGTCGTGGCGATCCGCCGCGCAACCGGCCAGTTTATCGTCAGCCCGACAGGACTTTCTAACTCGCTTCAAATACTCTGCCTAGCCACTGCTTCTCGGAAGCTGGCTTGGGAGTCGAGAACGTAAGAGAGATTTTCGGACGCGCTTGCGGGTTTTATAGTTGCGACAGGGGAGATAGAAGGGGGAGAAGGTGACGGGAAGGCTGAGGTGTAAGAGGAGAACGAGGAGGAGAAGACTTAAAGAGGAGTGCTCTACGAACGCCATGTTGATCCCTCGAAACTCAAGGTTCAACCAATCAGATTCGCCGCGCAATAGGAAGGTCCTATTGATCCACG